GAAACCCATCGACTTACACGCACACAAACAAATATGGACTCACACACACAGACATCGACTTTAGAGACACACATGTAGTTACACACACAAATCGACTGATACATACATAGACTCAACAACAACAACAACCGCCATTCGTCACTAAGTGGCGTTGACATCACCACGACACTTGTGCCAGGCTATGTGCACCCTGAGGCCACGTGAAGTGTCGAACGCCCGCTGGCAGGAGGTCACGGGGCAGACCCAGGTGCCACGGGTCGACTGACTGAGATGACTGGCTGATGCACCACCTGTGCCCCCTACTGTGCCAACCTGCTGTGCTTTAGCCACCCGGCGCTCCGCTCGTTGTTGTGAGCGTCGCTCCTCCGCCCTCCGTTGTTGTTGGAGGGCGACTACCTCCAACTGCCCAGTAGCATCCTTCACGAGCCTCCTCCACAGAGGCCGATCTTGACACTGCTGGTACCAGTCATCGGCAAGTCCACTCAGCTCCACGTCCTCCTGTACCACATCACTCCATCTCTTCTCTAGCCCGTGCCGCGCCCGCTTTGCCCCCTCAATCCGGCCGAACAAAAGCTGTTTCGGCATGCGGTGGCTGGGCATGCGGGCTACATGACCCAGCCATCGCAGCCTTGCCTGCCGGAGGAGCTCACCGATGGGACCTTGCCCAGATCTTTCAAGGATTTGTGAGCTCCTCACACAATCCAGTCTGGTTAAACCCAGGATGGATCGTAGGCAGGGCAGCCTAAATGTTTCTAACCGGCAAAGATGTTCCATTAGGGGGGTCCACGTTTCGCAAGCGTAGAGAAGGGAGGGAATGACTGTGGCCGAGAAGACCTGAAGCTTAGTGCGGAGCGACAGACCAGGTAGCTTCCACACAGCGTTACGCAACCGATGAAAATATATTGCCGCTCGACTGATTCGGAGTGAGACCTCTGCTGTTAAACTGGAGCCAGTCATAAGCACACTGCCCAGGTATGGGAAACTCTCCACTCTCTCCACAACTGCCCCATCACCGATTGGGAGTTGTGGGGGTGGAGTGTCCGATGGTACAAAATACCCAGCCAGGTGCTTAGTTTTGGTGGGGCTGATGGTAAGGCGCCATCTCTTAGTGGCACGCTCCAGTCTCAGCAGCAGCGTCTCCAACTCCTCCTCTGAATGAGCAGCTATTACCAAATCATCGGCATACATAACGTGGTTGAGCAATAGGGAGCCATCCCTTGATCGCACCCGGGCATCGATCAGCACACACACACACATATCAACTCACACACACACACACATTGACTTACACACAGACATCGAGTGACACGCACACATGTATAGACTTACACACACATATGGACTGACACACACATACACATGAATGTACACACACACATTGACTGACACACATAGACAGAAACGCACATTGACTTACACACTGACATGGAGCCATGCACACACATGGACTAACACACATACAGCGACTGATACACACACATGGACTTACACACAGACGCATGGACCTACACGTACACACATATGACTGAAACACACACATCGACACACACACACACACATGGACGTGCACAGCAATCCCCGATGATGGCACAGTTATCAGCATCGCAGCACTACATATCAGTAAATAGCGGGACGTGAGCAATCGAAACAATAGAAATGGATAGAAGATATAAGCAGAAAAAAGTGTCCATAAAATAGCAGCAGTACGTACAGGTAAGTTGAAAAGCAGGCTACAGTGTAGATAGACTGCCAGTACGCCGACTCAATGACATAATCATTGCTACAGTGGACATTAAAAGCTGGCAATACAGGCAGCAGCTGAAAAAGCAGGATTCAGTGGACATGAAAGGCTGGCAGTACACTTAGTGAGGTAAGAGCAGCCAACAGATTATAGACTGGCATACACCCATAATGGGCAAAAGCAAAATGAACAGTGTAGTGGCAGTGCACTGACGTGAATGAATCAGCAGGCAGCAGTCCACAGCACAGACTGGCAGTACACCATCGCAGCGTCATAAAAACGCACCAAAAAAGTAAATATTTAGCAACCTCATAATGAAAATGTAGTTGTTTGCTCACAAACATAATTGTATTATTAGGCAACTTATTAGTTTCATAATATTCTTTGGTTCTTTCGGTAAAGTCACGTAGAATGAGAATAAAATAATAAGGCCGCTTGTGTTGTGGCCGAAACGTCGTGAGAATATTATTGTGTTATTTTATTTTATCAATTTATTATTTTATTCTCATTCTACGTGTCTGGTACCAGACAGTCTCGTCCCTTCACCTGATGAAGGCCGCTTGTGTTGTGGCCGAAACGTCGTGAGAATATTATTGTGTTATTTTATTTTATCAATTTATTATTTTATTCTCATTCTACGTGACTTTACCGAAAGAACCAAAGAAGATGAATCATTGCAGTCACGAAAGCTTTAAATCGAAAAGTTTCATAATAGTAAACAATGAAGCAGAGTTGTTATCTGCACACAAACATAATGTTTGTAATATTTGTAAACGTATTTGTTTAATAATCAATAAACCTGAGTTGTTAGCGAAAGATTCAATAACACATTCCTGCGGAGGGAGCTGGTAGTAACGTTGGGTTGCTCGGTCAATGGCCAGGGTCAACGGCGGCGTGGTGTATTCCGCAAATATGCCCGACTGTGAGGGTGGGCACAAGCCGGCGTGAGTAGGTTAAACGTTGAGTTGTATAAGGGCACCACGGGGTGACCAGCCCCTCCCCACCCAGCCCCACCCCTCCCACCCCCCACCCAGCCCCTCCCCACCCTCCCCTCTCCACCCAGCCCCACCCCTCCCATTTTTGGATGCACGACGGACGGACACAATAATCCCCTGTGGGCTGGTGTAACCAGGAGGTTCCTACCCGTAACATTGTACTTAACATTGGCGTGGTGACGCCTAGTCCAGTGCAGAGCCCGCGGCCTCGTCTAGATTGGCAAGCCGGAGGAGGTGAGACATTGCCAGGCTGCGGGCTGGGCCGCTACCTCACCCCAGCATTCCCCCGCCCGAGCCATAATAATACTATGTAAGCGCTTTAATAATATTAATATCTAAGGACGTTATAGCAGTAACTGCACGCATGGTGTTGGGGGGGGGGGGCGAAGAGGACATGAGACTGTGAAGAAAAATCCGCAGCGTTATATGTATATTTATTGTATGTTAAACGCGCATCACTTGGCAGAGTCCGCCCCCTCCCCCCCCGCGGCAATTGTCAGTTGGTACGGTCGATGTTGTTTCAATAAGTAAATAATTAAAATAAAAATGCCACGAATTTGTTAATTAAACTACTTTAAAGTTTACGGATGAGAAAACGGAATAGCCTATTCTCATTGCGGGGCTTAGGGCGTGCTGCCTGGCAATTTCTTTTGGATATAAAGGCCACCGTTCGAGAGGCAAATCCCTCGCAAGCGCGTACGCGGATACTTTTATATATAAGATTGGTTTGCTCAATACTTAACCTCTTCTTGCGCGAAAGCAATTTTTGTCTTCATCACTGCTTTTATTCTGACCTTGCTATTGGTGTCATCAGATGACGAGTCCATGCAGGTCTCTGGTAGGGCAGTGCAACCCCTCCACCCACGTGTTAGTGAGCAGCCCACGAAAGCAGATATCACAGAACTACTTCTGAGATCCAATCCCAATTTTTATTTGTAAATTGCAGATCGATTCTCCGGTGCCTTCGAGGGAGGGGAGGGCGTGCCGGATTTGCTAAAACGCCAGATAATCACTACATCATCATCGTTATTTCAAATCACTTATAATTTGCACATTCTTGTATGACATGTTTTTAGGTGTTATGTTTTTTTGTGTTTTAGTATACTATGTAAAATTGGCATAAATAAACATACAAATAGACAGAAATAAATATCCTGTAAAAAAATACTCTATTTACTGTGCCATATTTACCACTCCAATCTCGAAGACTCTGCATGGGGTGATGTATATACGTGCAGTATTTTATTGTTTAAGTTGTATGTAGTGTATATAATATTTAACACTGATATCAAACAAACCTACTTTTTGTCACGCACGCGGTGCCAATCGCCCGACTGGGTTACAGCCTTTTTGAGCGGTTTTGCCGGATCGGCCCGGGACCGCAGGATAATGTTGGAAGTTGCCGGATAAATCGCGTGGGTGCCGAATGATCGATGATCAACTATACCTGCAGAACTAATTTGAAAAAAAAGGACAAGTATTACCACGCAGTTCGATCTGGTACACACATCTTTGTTCAAATGAACCTTGCCTGGTGGAATATGTAACTTCAGTTCATACAAATAACACGCTAAATAATTTTGCTGAAAGCTTTTGTGGTTTTTAGTTACAAATTTTTTTCAAGCTTGTTTTCGTCACATCTGCCCCTTAAATTAACATTTTAAGATAAGGTTATTCATGTTTTGCGATCCTTCAATTATTGTGAATGTTATATCATCAGTGTTGCCACACAGGACGTGATCACCGCAAACTGTGCACATTTATTTTTTAACTTTTAAAGAAAAGACAGTCCAAAAAAAACATCATGTTACTTATTGTTGCATTTGTATATATTTAGCAAGGAGAGTGACAGTTGGTGGCAGGTGTAATAAATGCCATGCATAATAATGTGATGATGGCCATGTGTAGAAATGTGATAATTGTAATGGCAGAGATGATATGATAATAGCAGCTTGGAGTCTGATGATGATTATATTGCGAACAGCCGTTGACTTGCAAATGTAATATTTCACAGCTGTTGCTCGATGTCTTTTCCTATCCCCTGCCCAGTGTGTGATGTCTCTTCCTATCCCCTGCCCAGTGTGTGATGTCTCTTCATATCCCCTGCCCAGTGTGTGATGTCTCTTCCTATCCCCTGCCCAGTGTGTGATGTCTCTTCCTATCCCCTGCCCAGTGTGTGATGTCTTCCTATCCCCTTCCCAGTGTGTGATGTCTGTTTCTATCCTCTGCCCAGTGTGTGATGCCTCTTCCTATCCCCTGTCCAGTGCGGTGAACTCATAAAGAGCCTCAAGCAGCGTGCAGGCCGCCCCCTCTCGGACGAGGAGGGGGAGGGGGGGCAGGAGGAGAGATCGGCAGCTGAGAGAGAAACCGATACAGGGGCAGGTGTGGAGAGAGTGGCGGCTATAGAGGACAAGAAGATGCTGGCCCTCAGGGAACAGCGCAGCCCTGCCCGGCTCTCGCAGCCAAGGCCCACGGCTCTCTCTCTTGCCAGGGTGGTACGTTGCTCGCACTGAACACACCAGCTTGTTACGCACTCACTTTACTGGTTTCCCCAATCCACGTTGAATGCTTAGTCTACCAGACCTGACTGTGTCATCTCATTGACACACACTGCAGGTCACAACAACTCACCCACTCACCACATTGCAGGTCACAACTCACCCAGCCACTCACCATGCTGCAGGTCACAAAAATTCATCCATTCCCCACACTGCAGGTCACAAGAACTCGCCCACTCACCATACTGCAGGTCACAACAACTCACCCACTCACCGACTCACACAGTGTGCAACTGCGGTCATCCAGAACATCCAGAACAGACCGTACAATGTATAACGACGCAATGTCCCAATCCACAAATACGAAGGAGACATCACGGTGATACCACTGCTCCGATGCTACTGATGCCGTTATCTGGCTTGACCACCTGAATATTAAATTGTAGTCCTTGCTCTGCATCAACATTAGCCGTACAAAATAAGACGATACGTTGATTTTAAATCTGGTGAGAAGGAGATATTAATTGGTAAGAATTTGATCAGTACATTAGCACCTCTAAATATAATCTTTGCAAAGTGTGACAAATTCTGTCGGATAAGGTGAAGGGTTCACGATAAGAATTGTGGCGTAAAACAACCACTTGGGCTTACCCAAAAACAAAATGGATCATAGCATTAGAACATGAGAGGAGATGTGTGGACATAGGATGACACAATAGCCCGATCCAAACACACGAAGGAGACATCACGGTGATGATGATGATGCACTAACCCGCTGCTGCTTCTGACGCGCTTATCTGCTGGCTTGGCCACCTGAATGTGAAATTGTAGTCGTTGGCTCTGCATCTAACATTAGCAGCCGTACAAAACAAGAAGAAAATGCATGGTGAGGATGTTTTATGGTGGTATTTGCCAGTGTCTTGTCATTTTTACTCTGAAAACTGATTTAAAGGAAGCTTCTTTGAGCATGCACGTCAGGCCTCTGAGTCATCACATGGGGCTGCACGGATCACTGTGCAGATGACACGCCACTCTTAATTGAGGCCAGACCACAGCGTAGTCTCTGTGTGTGCAATGCTCCCATCTGGTGTGATGTTATCTCCCACTCCTGGTATGCAGGAGGTCAATTAAGCGAAGTGCATCACAGCCTTTCATAATATACACAGTGGGTGGGAGTTAGAGCAGAATACACGATAGACGAGTTACTCATGGGTGCTGGTGTGGCGGGATGTTAACTACCTCGCCTGGTATGCAGGAGTTCGTGGGTTCGATCCCAACCCTGACCCTTGCTGTATATTTTAAGTTTGCGTGTCTCTCTTCCATTGGTCATGTGGATTTTTTTCTCTGGGCCCTCCGGTTTTTCCCTCCGCATTTGGAAATATGCATTGATATTATTTAGATTATATTGCTGCTATTAATGTCCAAAAGATGGGCCACTTTGTTGAGCAATCATTTGTGGCGAAGTCGCTTCTGAAAAAATAAGTTAATACCTCAGTGGGCTTTGCCTGGTAGGATAGGGATGGTTTGGTGTTGTATTTGTTTGTGTTTGTGTGATTTGTTTACCTTTCTTGTACTTTGCACTACTGCTATTTTTATGTATTGTTTGTTGTAACGTTGACTTCGTGCCCCTGACTGGATATCTGTGAAAAAAGAGCTTTATAGCTCGTCGAATTCCTCCTCCTGTAGTGCGTAAATAAATATTCCGATTATGATATTATCCGCTTGCATTGGAAACGGACGCACGTTTTTCAACAGTTCAACAATTGTGATGGCGTACAACTGGACTCTTCAGTTGCGCCCATTGTGCTTCGTTAGCGATGGGGGGATTTTGCTTCGACGGAGGACATTTTATCACGAATACATCTCTTGGCGAATGGCATTACAGTACCGTCAGAATACAATCATCTTCAGGCCGACTTCTTTAAATGCGGGGCCTCAAGCGAGAGACGTTGCGCCCTGGCTGTCGTGTGCAGGCTGCGCGAGACGGTGGCGCTGGAGTTGGTGCTGGAGGTGGCTCTGGCAGGGAGGAGCCTGTCTCTGGAGGCCCCCTCGTGGGGGCGTGGCGGCCAGCAAGCGCCCGCGCTGTCATCCCGGCACGTGCGTCACGCCACACACCACTGCTGCTGGCGCTCACTCTCACCACCACAAACACCGCACTGCTACTGTCACCACCACAAACACCGCACTGATACTGTCACCACCACAAACACCGCACTGATACTCTCACCACCACAAACACCGCACTGATACTCATTGGTTTTTTCGGTAAAGTCACGTATGTAGAAATACAATAAAATTATATTAAAACAAAAAACAATCACGACGTTTCGATCACAACGCAAGCGATCTTCATCAGGTGTCAAGAACAAATCACGGAGGTAAATACAACAAAAAGATGAGAGACGAGAATCAACAAACCTGAAAAAACATGTGAAGCACATCCAGTTAGGCCAACAACACAGTTAGACACTTCCTGGCAGACCACGAATTTCAGAAGAGTGTTAAATTTCGTGTTCAACCTTTGGATTGCACATACCAGCATAATGTTTTTTCAGGTTTGTTGAATTCTCGTCTCTCATCTTTTTGTTGTATTTACCTCGGTGATTTGTTCTTGACACCTGATGAAGATCGCTTGCGTTGTAATCGAAACGTCGTGATTGTTTTTTGTTTTAATATAATTTTATTGTATTTCTACATACGTGACTTTACCGAAAAAAACAATGAGTAATTTTATGCAGTCACGAAAGCTTTAATACTTTATTACCGCACTGATACTCTCACCACCACAAACACCGCACTGATACTCCCACCACCACAAACACCGCACTGATACTCCCACCACCACAAACACCGCACTGATACTCCCACCACCACAAACACCGCACTGATACTCTCACCACCACAAACACCGCACTGATACTCTCACCACCACAAACACCGCACTGATACTCCCACCACCACAAACACCGCACTGATACTCCCACCACCACAAACACCACATTGCTGCTGATACTCTCACCACCGTGGCACCCCTCTTCGGACATGTCTGGTCGACGCATCAAGAGCAGACCAAGTGCCCTCGAGTTCGCTCTTGTGGGGCTCTTTTGCGAGCGGCGGCATGAGTGTGCACTTGCAGGCGGGCGGTACTTTCATCTTGCACGTGTACGGTCCACGGTCAATATCCCGGGACTGCTGTGAAGTGTGGCTTTTCAAGCGAAGGCCGGGAGGCAGCGCTGGGACCAGGCCAGCAACATGGAAGGAACCCCTTCACATGAATGTGGAATTTGTTTGTTGCGGTTGAACCCAAATCAAGAGCCGAATGGCTCACAGGGTAAATCATAATAAATGAAACTAAACTGAAACTGCTGACAAAGCATTCTCTGGTGTGACACTGGTGGTGAGACTAGGCCATAAAGAAGGCCGTCTCTGGTGTCGGCCGATCAGTTTCAAAGACAATTCCTATATTTTCTGAGCGTGTTTGTTTGCATGTTCACCACAAGTACGTGTGGTTAATGAAGACTTGATTCTTTACAAAAGCTTTCTATTTGGTGTTTGAACATATTAACACCTATTTTATTCCCAGAAAGGGTAAATTCTAGTCTTATTTTTCATACTATAGCATTGCCAGCTGACCTGGGCACTGTCCAGTGTCGATTTGAGTGTGGGATTTTTAACAATGCCAATCTGTTTGTAGGCATGCAATGCTATCCATTGCATTTGCCAAGCTGCTTTAATGACTATGCACGTGCGTGTGGTGCGGGAGTGCGTTGGTTGGCACGCTGTACTATGAACCCGGCGACCCGAGTTAGATTCCCGCTCACGGCTAACACCGGTGACGATTATCTGAACTGGCCCTGGGCCTCCTCCCCTAGGTCGACTCAGCCTCAAATGAGTACCTGGTGCGGTGTGTAAACATCGGCACTGGTGTGGTGCTGGCCACCCACCGCTTTCATATGCTGTGTCGGCCTCCATAGGTGCTTGCTAACAGCACTTACCCCAACAGTCTGTTGATACAATGGAGGATCTTTGTCTTGTTATGTGGGGATAAGTGTGTGTGTGGGGAGCGATGACACTGGTTTGCAGACTTCACCACCAACCCGGAAACCCGAGACCAATTCCCGCTTATGGCCAACATCGGTGACGGTTATCTGAACCCGGGCCTCCCCTAGGTTGACTCGGCCTAAAATTAGTTCCTGGTGCAGTGCGTAAACATTGCCACTGGGGAGACAAAGGCGGCCAGGGGTGATGCTGGTCACCCACCACCTCGTGTGCTGTGCCGGCCTTCATAGGTTCTGCTCCACAACAGTCTGTCAAGCCTATTACGGGGGACGGATCTCTTTCTGTGTGTTTAGGCCCCCCAGAGTGCCCACCCAGAAAAGGGGCCTCTGCTGATAGACCCAGGAGGAGGAGGGGGTCAGGAGGAGGAGGTGGTAGACGCTTCTGTGGCTCCACGTCCCACAGTGCATTCTACACGGAGGATGGAAACCACGTAGGTGAGTGCCAGCATGGGGGGGGGGCGCTGAGCCGAATGGCCGAGTGGATTTAACACTGGTTCGCATCCACGTCTCGTTACTACGCCTCGTCTCGGTCGAAACTCCGCCTGCCATTACTCACAGCGTTCGTCATCCACGCGCACATCCCCTGATATTTCAGTCGTTCGTAACAGCTGAAGTGGTCAGAGCAAAATCTAAAAAAGTAAATCGTAAACTTGGTCGTCATTTGCGAAGGTCATCATGTACGTAACCCTTTTTGGCCAACTGTTGTACATAAATGATAACATGCACAGCAGCAAAAGCCAGCAAGAAAACCAGCATCTATTCTATTTTTTTTATTAAATCTCTCTTTTTTATTAGGTAAGGCCCCACTGATCTATGTAGCACTTTTCAGAAGCGACCTGGCTATCACAAATGATAACTCAACAAAGTGGCTTATCACGTGGAAATTTATAGCAGCCCAAAAACTATATTCTTAGTTTTTTCGGTAAAGTCACGTTGAAGAGAAACAACAAAATAATAAAATATATATAAAACAATAAAAAATTCTCACGACGTTTCGACCATAACTCAAACGGTCGTCTTCAGGTGTGTTGGTTCGCATAAATGTATTTTTAAACGGCGCATTTATTTATTTATAAAAAACGTTAGCGCCACGCGCAACGATTTGGCAGTTTACCCAGGACTAGTCCATCTATATTCTGAAAAGAGGAGGGGGGAGACGAAATTTTTTATAATGTATGCTGTCTGAAAGCCACTGTAAGCGTGAACAATCAATTAAGACCTGAAATGGTTTATCAAATCTTTCCAATGATTGCTAAGATAGAATCCATCTTCTCGGTTGAAATTGTCTCTGTGCTTGTATATGTGGATAGCCTCATGAACGAATCTCTCATGGAAGCCAGATGGCTTACAAAGAACCTCTGTCTTGGAAAAGTCAATGGCATGTGAGCCTACTGAATTAGAACAATGATCTGCCACGGCCGAGGTGTTGGTCCTACCGTGTTTAAGGTCTGCTTTGTGTTCACGAATGCGGTCCGAGACATGGCGTTTGGTTTCTCCAATGTAACTACTACCACAGAGGCAACTTAGTTTGTAGACACCAGGGTATTGTATGTCCGGAATCACATCTTTTACAGACGGAACCAGATCACGGATTTTATGTAATGTGTTGAAACGGACCTGGATCTTGTGTTTATTCAAGATTTTGGAGATCTTTTTTGTGATCCCAGCAATGTAGGGTAAAGTGATGGTTTTGAAAGGCTCCTCAAGAGGGTTCTTCTTCATGGTTTGAGTGATAGCTTTGCGGATTGTATAGTCGGAGTAACCATTAGCCCTAAGAGCTTGGTGTACGTGCTTGAGTTCACTGCTTATGTGTTCCTGGTCGGATATGCATTGGGCTCTATGATACAGAGTCTTGATGAGATAATTCTTCTGTGATGGATGGTGGTGGGAATCCGGTTTCAGATAAGCATCCGTATGGGTAGCTTTCCTGTAGACAGAGTGGCTCATTGAACCATCGGGTCTCTTTTTAATTAGGACATCCAAAAAAGGTATCTTGCCATCTATTTCGACTTCCATGGTAAATCTGATGGCTGGGTGTATGGAATTGATGTGGTCGAAGAATTGGTCTAGAGCAGGCCGGCCATGTGGCCAGATGACAAAAGTGTCATCCACGTACCTCTTCCATAAGGTTGGCCGCAGAGTGGCAGTCTGGATGGCGTCAGTCTCAAATTTCTCCATGAAAATGTTAGCTATAACTGGAGAAAGGGGGGAGCCCATTGGGGTGCCCTCAGGTTGTTTGTAGAAAGTTCCATTCCAAGTGAAGTATGTATTGGTTAAACAGTGTCTCACCAGGGGGGGTACCTCAGTGTTTAGTCTTTGATGAACCAAGTCTTCAATGATTGCAATGGTGTCAGGTACAGGAACCTTGGTGAATAAGGAAACTACATCAAAACTGACAAGCAGGTCATCTGGGGACAGGGAAATACCCTTGATTGTCGATACCAGGTGAGTAGAATTTTGTACCGCAGAGGTACACTGAGGTACCCCCCTGGTGAGACACTGTTTAACCACTACATACTTCACTTGGAATGGAACTTTCTACAAACAAACTGAGGGCACCCCAATGGGCTCCCCCCTTTCTCCAGTTATAGCTAACATTTTCATGGAGAAATTTGAGACTGACGCCATCCAGACTGCCACTCTGCGGCCAACCTTATGGAAGAGGTACGTGGATGACACTTTTGTCATCTGGCCACATGGCCGGCTTGCTCTAGACCAATTCTTCGACCACATCAATTCCATACACCCAGCCATCAGATTTACCATGGAAGTCGAAATAGATGGCAAGATACCTTTTTTGGATGTCCTAATTAAAAAGAGACCTGATGGTTCAATGAGCCACTCTTTCTACAGGAAAGCTACCCATACGGATGCTTATCTGAAACCGGATTCCCACCACCATCCATCACAGAAGAATTATCTCATCAAGACTCTGTATCATAGAGCCCAATGCATATCCGACCAGGAACACATAAGCAGTGAACTCAAGCACGTACACCAAGCTCTTAGGGCTAATGGTTACTCCGACTATACAATCCGCAAAGCTATTACTCAAACCATGAAGAATAACCCTCTTGAGGAGCCTTTCAAAACCATCACTTTACCCTACATTGCTGGGATCACAAAAAAGATCTCCAAAATCTTGAATAAACACAAGATCCAGGTCCGTTTCAACACATTACATAAAATCCGTGATCTGGTTCCGTCTGTAAAAGATGTGATTCCGGACATACAATACCCTGGTGTCTACAAACTAAGTTGCCTCTGTGGTAGTAGTTACATCGGAGAAACCAAACGCCATGTCTCGGACCGCATTCGTGAACACAAAGCAGACCTTAAACACGGTAGGACCAACACCTCGGCCGTGGCAGATCATTGTTCTAATTCAGTAGGCTCACATGCCATTGACTTTTCCAAGACAGAGGTTCTTTGTAAGCCATCTGGCTTCCATGAGAGATTCGTTCATGAGGCTATCCACATATACAAGCACAGAGACAATTTCAACCGAGAAGATGGATTCTATCTTAGCAATCATTGGAAAGATTTGATAAACCATTTCAGGTCTTAATTGATTGTTCACGCTTACAGTGGCTTTCAGACAGCATACATTATAAAAAATTTCGTCTCCCCCCTCCTCTTTTCAGAATATAGATGGACTAGTCCTGGGTAAACTGCCAAATCGTTGCGCGTGGCGCTAACGTTTTTTATAAATAAATAAATGCGCCGTTTAAAAATACATTTATGCGAACCAACACACCTGAAGACGACCGTTTGAGTTATGGTCGAAACGTCGTGAGAATTTTTTATTGTTTTATATATATTTTATTATTTTGTTGTTTCTCTTCAACGTGACTTTACCGAAAAAACTAAGAATATGAATTACTGCAGTCACGAAAGCTTTAAATCAAAAGCCCAAAAACTGTTAAACGCGTGTTTCTAAATGTGGAGGGAAAAACCGGAGGGCCCGGAGAAAAATCCACATGACCACGGTGAGAACACGCAGAAGGTTGATCAAATGCACGACCCCCTGTATACCAGACGAGGGAGTTAACATCTCGCCACTGCAGTGCCCCCATATATAATTTGCATGTCAAGATGACGTCGCCATTTTTGTCATACTCCCCCCCACGGTTTTGTCAGAGCCACGAGCTCAGGATGTGAGATTGTTTTTGACGTGGGCAGCAAAGGGCTTGAGATACGCTGATGCTGGCAGTGTGTGGTCTGGGACTGTTGTTGCTGTTATTTAAACTGCCTTTCGCAAGCTTGGGAATTGATGTACTCATGCAATTTGAAGTTATATAGTTTTTTACTTTTTCTTATTTAATGGGCACCACGGTCGCGAGATGTTATTTTTACGCTGAAAACTGATTTAAGAGGAGCTTCTGCGAGCATGGGGCTGCACGGGTCACTGTGCAGGTAACAGACGCCACTCTTAATTGAGGCCAGACCACAGCACGGTGTGTGCAATGCTCCCGTCTGGTGTGATGTTATCTCCCTCACCTGGTATGCAGGAGGTCAATTAAGCGAAGGTCATCAAAGCTTTTCCTAATATACACAGTGGGTGGCAGCTAGAGCAGACTACATGATAGAGGAGTTACTCATGGGTGCTGGAGTGGCCAAATGTTAACTACCTTGCCTGGTAAGCAGGAGGTCGTGGGTTTGATCCTGACCTTGACCCCTGCTGTATATTTGGAGTTTGCGTGTCTCTCTCCCCATGGTCGCATAGATTTTTTTCTCCGGGTCCTCCAGTTTTTCCCTCCACATTTAGAATGATGCATCTAGATTATTTAGATGTGTTTGCTGCTGTAAATTTGCACATGATGAGCCACTTTGTTGAGCTTCTGGAAAATATGCTAATAGCTCAGTGGGCTTTACCTGATAAGATGAAAAAAATCGTTTAGTTCTATTTGTATATATTTTTAAAGTAATTTGTTTACTTTTCCTATACTTTGCATTCCTATCGTGTTTTTGCATTTGTAGAGTCGTGCTTCGTGATGCCCTGTGGGATTGTAGACTCAGACGGAGACCAGGGTTGAATATTCAGGGCTGCTTGCCGTTTATTCATGCCAACATCCGCACTCTTAGTTCCGTCGCGGGTACTCACTACTCCCTGTCTCTTAGCCCTCTCTCCCGACTCCCTCGACCTTCGTCCAGGCTACCTCGCACCCTTCCACCCGTAGCCTCCTTTGTCTCTCGGCCCAGGAGCCTTTCTACCTGCTACCTGTCTCCTCGCTCTCTCCTGGCTCTCCTTTGTCTCTAACCCCTCCCCTTCCGTCCAGGTTCCCCTTTTATCCCCTTAGCCTGGGCTCCTCCCTTTTACCTGTCTCTCCTCCTTCTACCTGGCTCCCCCCACTAGCAGATGTCTCACTCTGTCTACTTACCCTCCTCTCTCGCCCTTCTGGCACTCCCTTTTTGCTTGGCCCCCTTCCCGCGGTTGCCCCTCGTTGGCTCCCCGCAGTACTCCTCTGCACATTGTTTATTTTCGTAACGTTCTTACCCCATGCCCCTACTGGACATCTGTGGAAAATAACTGTATAGCTCATCAGATTCCTCCAGTATAAACAAATATTCTGATTCTGTCAGTTTAACATGTAAGCTTTCCCGACCAATATTATCCATAATCGAGGTTTTTTGGGTTTAATTTCGTAAATTTGAATGTGATAGCCAATTAGTAAGGTTTATCAAGTAAACAACACCGGTTGTGTGTTGGAGAGTAAACCCACAACATTTGTGTCGGGCGGTGGTGGGTTTAGCGATACATTTACGCAATCTAACCCAAAAAACCTCTGAATGGATTGGATTGTGATTGTGTGTGTGATTGTGTGTGATTGTGTGTTTGTGTGTGTGATTGTGTGTGTGTGATTGTGTGTGTGTGAGTGTGTGTGTGATTGTGAGTGGTGCCGGATGGTAACGCTGTGGTGAGCAGTGCCATGGGGGGAGGGCCAATTTCGATTGGCCATTCCCCTCATGGCATTTGTAGCCACCACAATGGCCAAAGGGGGCTCTGGACTGATGCGAGGGGCTAGTAACCCCTCCACCTTCAATGAATTACCACTAAACCACAAAAACAATATCCAACAAAGCTTGTGCTGGAGGCCCCGGGGGGACAGGCGTCTATGACGTCTCCTGGCCAAACCCCATTTGGCGGAGCCAGGAGATTGAATGCTTACCCTCGGGTTTCCTCCAGAAACAGCAAAAATCCACTGCGGGTGGCCACATGGAATGTTCGAATGCTCAATGCGGAGGAGAGGCTGCCCCTCTTCTGTTGGGAGCTGGACCGGTACCACCTGGATCTCTGTGGAATTCAGGAGGTCTGGTGGACCGGCTCTGGCTCCTGCCAACATGAGGGGTGGGCAGTCCTCTACTCGGGGCAGGAGACTGCCAAACAACAGGGAGTGGCTCTTCTTCTGAACAATAGAATGAAGGGGGCGTGGGAGCGTGGCAGTGAGGTGTGGGAAGCTGTAAGCCCCAGGCTACTTTGGGCTTGCCTTCCCATCAACCAGAGGCGAGGAGTGGTGGTCGTAGTTACTTATGCCCTCACCGAAGATAAACATCAGTGGAGAGATGCAGGCAAGGCCAATGAGTCAGATGCCTTTTATCACCTCCTGTCGCAGGTGCTAGCTAAAGTGGCCCCTCGGGATAGAGTCATCTTCTTGGGTTACTTTAATGCCCGAGTTGGTAATGATGCTGGCACCTGGTCTGGAGTGATTGGAAGGCATGGGTCATATCAGCTCAATAACAACGGTAGGAGGCTGCTCGACTTTTGTGCAGCCCATGGGCTTGTAATTACCAACACGCTGTTCCGGCATTGGCGCATTCACATAACATCATGGATGCATGCCGGGTCCAAACAAGAACATCTGCTGGACTCTATAGTGATGGGAACAGCAGATGCAGGCCCATGTCCTTGACACAAGGACCTACCGTGGAGCTGATCTGCGCACTGACCATCGACTTGTCATCTGTAAGATAGCCTGCCATTCTTCCACTCGGGTGGTGGGTGTACACGCAGGACCCCATTCGCACCCATAATGGCCTGGTCTCAGCTAGCTGCTAAAAGTTGCAAGCGAGAATTTCATCATCGCTTGTAGCGGCGGTTGGCATCGTTCCTCATTCCTGATGTCGAGGGGAAATGGGCGAGGTTTAGGACTGTCCAGGTGCAGTCAAGGGATAGCTCCCTATTGGTCAACCATGTTATGTATGCCGATGATCTAGTAATTGCTGCTTCCTCAGAGGAGGAGTTGGAGGCGCTGCTGCTGAACCTGGAGCATGCAACTAAGAGGTGGGGCCTTACTATCAGCCCCACCAAAACTAAGCATCTGCCTGGGTATTTTGTACCATCAGGCACTCCAACCCCGCATCTCCCAATTGGTGAGGGGGCAGTTGTGGAGAGAGTGGAAAGTTTCCCATACCTGCACAGTGTGCTCATGACCGGCTCCAGTTTGACAGCAGAGGTCTCGCTCCGAATCAGTTGAGCGGCATTATCTTTTCATCAGTTGGGTAACGCTGTGTTGAAGCTACCTGGTCTGTCGCTCCACACGAAGCTTCAGGTCTTCTCGGCCACAGTCATGCCCTCCCTCCCTTCTCTATGCTTGTGAAACGTGGACTCCCCTAATGGAGCATCTTTGCCGGTTAGAAACATTTTGGCTGGCCTGCCTACGATCCATCCTGGGTTTAACCAGGCTGGATTGTGTGAGCTGCTCACAAATCCTTGAAAGATCTGGACAAAGTCCCATTGATGAACTCCAGCAGTCACGGCAGCATTGGCTGGGTCATGTAGCCCACATGCCCAGCCACCGCGTGCCTAAACAGCTTTTGTTCGGCCGGATAGAGGGGGCTAAATGGGCGCGACACGAGCTAGAAAAGAGATGGAGTGATGTGGTACAAGAGGATGTGGAGCTGAGTGGACATGCCAATGACTGCTACCAGGGGTGTCAAGATCGGCTTCTGTGGAGAAGGTTTGTGAAGGACACTACTGGGCAGTTGTAGGCAGTCACCCTCCAACAACAACAGAGAGCACAGGAGTGATGCTCACAACAACGAGTGGAGCGCCGGGCGGCTAAAACACAGAAAGTTGGCACAGTAGGGGGCACAGGTGGTGCATCGGCCAGTCATCCCAGTCATTCGACCCATGGTGCCTGGGTTTCCCCCGTGACCTCCTGCCAGCGGGCGTTCGACACTTCACGTGGTCTCAACGTGCACATAGCTTGGCACAAGCGCCATGGTGACGTCACCGCCACTTAGTGGCGAATGACGGTTGTTGTGATTGTGTGTGTGATTGTGAGTGTGATTGTGTCCACACGTGACGTTGCCGGGAGCAGGCGTTGTGTACAAGAGCTACGCGCAGAACCGCAGTGTCAGGAAGGCCGTCCCGGACGTCACTCTCCCGCCAGGGGAGGACGCTCTCTCCTCCAGCCAGGTGAGAGCAGTGGAGCCGCTCCCATGCTCCAAGAACTGCAGAACATTTAAACAACATCGTTGTCAGCACGCCCTCCCATCGTTGCAGGTATGGGTCGATACATTGTAAAAAAATAGCCGCTCTAGACCATTTGAGTGTGCAAAATTAATGGGCAGGGAGGAAGCTAAATTACCAAACCCCGAATCCCTTCATGGCTTCTCTTCCAGTTGGGCATTCAATTATAATCAATGTTTATAATCATTGCCCAACTGATAATAATCAATGCCTGAATCGTTCATTCGGACATTTATCCACCCCCACCCCTCTCCTTCACCCACCCACCCTCCCCTTCACCCCCCCACCCCTCCTCTTCACCCCCCCACCCCTTCTCTTCACCCTCCACCCCTCCCCTTTACCCCCACCCCTGCCCTTCACCCCCCCCCCATACCCCTCCCCTTCACCAACCCCTCCCCTTCACCCCCACCACCGCTCCCCTTCAGCTCCCACCACCCCTCCCTTTTTTTTACAAGTGAAATGCTACCGGATATTTGCGTTAAAGAGCTTTATACCCCATCGGATTCCTCCACAATAAACACATTCTGATTTTGCTAACTTCAAAAAAAGATTGTATCAAAGAATGTCATTCACAAATGAGCAACAATCTGAAAAATATAGCCACAAATTTATATTTCTTTAAGTCATATGTACACATTACAATCTGGAGACACGAATAGCATATCTACAAGCGTGTGTATACATTTGGAATGCAGTAGGTGCTTTGTTACACTGTGCACTCCTGTGGCGTTTGAGATAAAAACATTATTTGTCAATTTCATTGGCGCTTCCAATCACATTCTGCACTCACACACCCTGTTATCTCTCACCCCTTTTGCTATCTGTCCTCGCTCTAATCTACGCCATATACCCCCCCCCCTACCGTAACCCCTGTTCAGTGGCTCAAGAGGTTTGGTTTGAAGAAGCTACGTCTGGATGTGGAGAGGCTCATGTTGGGACTGGACTGCCACCACCGCCAGACCGTCGTGCGCTCCCTTCGCAAGAGCATCTCCGCCAAGTACTGCAGCATCTTCCCCAGCGTGCGCATCAATGTAAGAGCCTGTGAACGGCTCCCTCCGCCGCCCTCCCCTACAGAGAGAGGGACAACAATTCCTCTGTGGGCCTCGCCAAACAATCAACTACTGTGGGCCTGAAAAAAAAATATAAACTAATTTTTATTTTACCTTGAAAGGCCCACTGAGCTATGTAGCTCTTTTTAAGAAGCGACCTGGCGATCACAAATGACAGCTTCAACGAAGTGGGCTCATCATCGCCGTGTGGACATTTATAGCAGCTGACAAATACTCTGAATGCGTGAAATTTATTGTAAATGTGGAGGGAAAAACCGGAGGGCCCGGAGAAAAATCCACGCGACCATGGGAAGAGACACACACGCAAGCTCCAAATTTCAAATATAAAATGTATCTTTAAAGGCTTTGAGCTAAGTAAAGAATGAAAAAGTGCAATATTTGGTCTTAAAAAGTGCCAGTGGTAAAATACACTGTTTCCCAAGAAACACTAAATTAAAATCTCGAATAAAAATGAAAAAAATTTAACAAGCATTATAAATGCGCCATCACGAACAACGACATTACACTGGGAAAAACACAGTAATACAGATAAGACATGAAGGGAAAATCATATTCTCAATTGTGTCTTTATTGCCAACGGAAGAGTTGTCAAATGAGCAATAGAAGCCTGTAACACTTTAGGCTTCTGTCGCTCGTGAATCTTGCGTTGGCGATGCCGACTTTCTGCGTGCCGCCAGATCCCGATGTCTCTCACAACTCCCACCCCAGTGACTGCACCACTGCCAGTCTCGTGAATCCGTTACGCTTCCACGGAGCGCTCCCTTTTTAAGCGCGGCCTCGTTTGTGATCGCACTCCGTTTGCCCGTTGGGTCCAGCCTTAAAATGCAGTCATATCTGGAATGAGTAATTATGTGCCCTCTTTTTCCGTTATTTTGGCAAGTAGAATTTTTGGTTTGCTTTGCAGTATAAGTTGCAATTTGAGCTGCAAAAAAAAGTTAGAAGGCCAACTTTCAAATGGGTTACAGTAGAATTGAGAAACATTGCTACTGGCACAGGTGGTTCATCGCCACAGAGACGTTCTTGACAATAACATAGGGTTGTACGATCTGGCACGCGAGTACCAATCCACTAAGGGTCATGATGGATCCCCCATGTTGTTCATTTGGCAGTCTGGCAGCACCGGGGTTTGCATCTCCACTCTGGCTTGCACCGGCTTGTTATTTAATTATTACCAGAAAATGCCAAACTTTTAAAGTGATTGAAGATTGAAACGGAACGTATGAATGTCCACGTTCATGTCTTCACAAACTGCCTCTCACACATCGCCCTGCCGGTCGGCCCAGTGGTGATTAAAACTAAAACTATTTTTTTTATTTGACCAGGCAAGGCCTACTGAGCTATTAGCTTATTTTTCGTAAGAGACCTGGCCTCAAATGATAGCTCAACGAAGTGGCTTATCACGTGGAAATTTATAGCAGCCAAATACACCAAATACGTGTTGGTTCTAAATGTAGAGGGAAAACCGGAGGACCCGGAGAAAAAAATCCACGCAATCACAGGGAGAGAGACACGCAAACTCCAAATATACAGCAGGCATCAAGGTCGGGATCAAACCCTCGACCTCCTGCATACCAGGCAAGGACGATAACACCACAACCGTGGTGCCCTTTAAATAAATAAGTACATAAGTTCTAATTGCATTACTACATAAATTCCGAAGCCTGGGAAAGGCAGTAAAACAACAGCAAATACAGTCCCAGATCACACCAAGACAACACACAGTCCCTCAATAAAATTATACATTAAACTCTTTGGTTCTTTCGGTAAAGTCACGTAGAAAATCAAATAATAATAGAATACGACGTTTCGATTGCAACACAAGCAACCATCATCAGGTAAAAATGAATGAGAAAAAAACAAACATAGTAAACTTAGAAACACAATGCAACACAACACAGAGAGCCGGCCAACACAACAGACAACACTCCACCTGGCTGACCACGCTACTCCAAAGAATTACAAACAGAAAGACAGCGCCACTGTGTCGAGGCCTTAAATAGAGAGAGGGGGGAGGGGTTGGGGCAGAGGACAATGAGAGTTAAACAGGGAGACTCGCCGTGCGGACTGTCGCCTACGAATGCTCGGTGTACACGTGCGCGCGCATGTGTCGTATCGCCATGCCAGGGCAAAGTGCGGCACCTGCAGTTTGGGCTGCACGAGCTGGAGGAATACGCGGAGGTGCTGCAGCGGGTCCTGCGGCGCTATCTTGCACGCCTCCACTGGCTCCTGTCCGGTAGCGCAGCGCCGCCATCCCACACGCGAGCCGCTTGCACAATGCCACGACGACCTACCCTTATTTTATTTGTTTTATTGGGTGCAATTGTGAACAATAGCCACATCAGACATAATAATTGGATCACTGCAGCTCAAAGAATCAGTCCCTGCAAGGCGTTTCTATCTAAGGCGCTGCCAGCGCAAGCCAAAAACCGCACCGCGGGTCTCGTGGATTTTGCTCCCTGGATCCCTCCGGTTTTATTCCCCCTCCACATTTAGAGTCAGCATCACGCATTTGAGAGTATTTGGCTGCTGCTTGTAAATGTCCACGCGATCATGAAAAGCCACTTCGTTGAGCTGCCGTTTGTGATATGGCCAGGTTGTTTCTGAAAAAGAAGCTAATATAGCTCAGTGAGCTTTACCTGGTAATATAAAAATAGTTTAAAGCGACCATTCACAACTAAGTAGTGGTTATCATGGCACGTTTGGCCAGGTGAAGTGCACTCTGAAGCCAAGTGAATTTGGAGAAGGCTCACACAGGCAGGCGGGAGGTCACGGCACAGTGTGTTGTTGTGGGTTAATAGATTTGGGGGTAGGGGGCGGCGACTGGCACAATACATTGCTCATGGTTTCTATTGTGTCATCTTTGCTGCACTTTCACATTTCCATTGCTCTGCTCATTGTTGCATCTCGGTCCTCCATTCTTGGTGAAAGTTATGCTGTCGCAAGCTTTCCGGTCGTGGTTATTTATCGATATCGGTTATTTTATCGACCTCCGCAAAAAACAACCAAAGGGCACCACTGACACCTGCCATGTTGTCTTAATCCATGCCACATCAATTCAGGCCTTCCATGCAACCAACCACAGCAGACTCAATTATTCGCGCTAATGAGGGGGAGGACGGTCGCGGATTATTCAAAATCGCGGATCTCTGCCAAAAACAACTAATATTGATAAAAATTATGTTTAAGTTAAGAAAATGTAGTTTGTTCAAATATAGATTTGTAGTAAAGAATCGACCGATCAATGATGCACGTGCTCAGTGATAACACTTTCCTGCTCCCACGCAGAAGACTCGGCCCACTAAGTGGACAGGAGCAGAGCCACGCCAATCAACATCTAACTTCACCGACTGTTGTAAAGATCTGCAACTACTGTACTGTAGAGGCAATTACGTGGATTTCAGATTATCGTAACACATATTTGTTCATGTGACTTGTAATAAACATTTCCAAGAATATCAATGTGGAACTGTTTTTAGATTATTCATTTGGGCTTAAGGGAAAATACATGTGTTATGAATTTATGTCAAAATCTCAGGTGCGCGTTTAATTCGCAAATCAGATAAACCACACGTGAATAATCGAGAGGCTTTGCTAGCCTAAGCAGTGCACAAGTGAGAGAATACTTTTAGATCTTCCAAGGTATCTAAGCTACAAACACGCACATAAAAGCCCCAGCATTGATCATAAAACTAAACTAAACATTTTTATTTTATTTTACTAGGGAAGGCCCACTGAACTGTATAGCTCTTTTTGAGAAGCGACATGGCCACAAGTGATAGCCCGAACGAAGTGGCTTATCATGTAGAAATGTAAAGCAACCAAATACATGCATGTTGATTCTAAATGTGGAGCAAAACACGGGAGGAGGACCCGTAGAAAAATCCTCGTGACCACAGGGAGAGAGAGACATACACACTCCAAATATACAGCAAGCGTCAGGGTTGAGATCGAACCCAGGACCTCCTGTATACCAGGCGAGGTAGTTAACATCTCGACAACGTGGAAGCAGCCAGCCTGATTGGTTCAACCGAGCACGTGGTGCTTCGTGACGGTAGCCTATGGTTTGAGAGTGTAGAAAGGGCAGAGAGCATTGCCTGTGACCTAAACACCCAGAAATTGTATGGAAGTAATAATAAGCCAATCAACCCGAGTTCGGTTCCCATTCACGGCCAACAGTCATTTCAACCGGTCAAACCATTCCTGGGCTTTCCCCGAACTCGATTCAGCCTTAAATGAGTACCAGGTGCGCGATGTAGATAAACATCGGCACTTGGGAGACAAAGGCGGCCGGGCATGGTGCCGGGCAACCCAGCCTCCTTGTGCGCCGTGCCGGCCTTCACGGGCGTGGCTACCACTCGCCCCAACAGCCTGTTGGAGGCTACAGCAGGGGGCGACCTCACGTCTTGGTATTGCGCGCTCGCTGCCGTGCAGGCAGCCGTTGCGTGTTCGGCGTGGTGCTGGAGGCGAACGTGTGCCTGCTGATCGACGTGTCCGGCTCCATGACGCCTCACCTTTGCGAGCTTCAGCAGGAGCTCGCCAGCCTTGTCTGGGACCAGCTGCGCCACCACTGCACCAGGTGATGATTGTTACGGCTGCCCCCCCCCCTAACCCTTTTGTCGCTCCACTGCTGGTTTGAAGGCCACCACCATGCCACGGTCCGTTGTGTGTCTGGACCGCACCTTCGATTAGCACGGTTGGCTACGTACGGTGGGAAAGAACATATATAAATACACACAGAGACCCCATAGGCTCGCACAGACACAGAGACTCAACTCAGAGATGCATAGTTTGTTGTGCTTCCCCTGCACCTCCGATTAGCATGGTTGGCTATGTACGTTCTAACCCAAACAAAAACCTATATTATGGATGATATTGGTCGTGAAAGCCTATATGTTAAACTGGTGTGAAAGAAGTGCAACATATGTACGTATATATTGAAAATAAATTGCAGAGATGATAAAAGTCTAATTTGGATTTGAATAGTCACATGGACAGCTGTGAGATAACAGTTTGGGGCTGATTCTTTATGCAACCAGCAATGAGACAGACACGTGATTTAAATTCACAAAGATCACCTCCGGCGGTGTCTGAAACATTTTACTTACGGCCAAGGTCTCTGTAGCCTCAGGTAGCCCACGCCTAGCCTCTGGTCACGCTCCGATGCCTCTGGCCACCATCGTTCCACCCCACTGCAGTATTTTGTTGGCGACAATCGGCTGGCATTCCAGCCTGCTACAGCTCCACCAACCCCACCTGGGCCTCCGCTGGTGTCCGGCGGGCCGGTGCCTAGCCACCGAAGTCGCGCTCTGCGACCTTCAACCTACGTACATATGTACGATGGCGCTTAACCGATTGCTGATCGGCGTGGGTTAGTGAAGGGGAGCCCACGACTCGATTGAATATCACCTAACAAATATGCCGTGTGCGTTGTACATACGTTGAACTTCTTTCGCACCATATGTGGCCAACTGTGCTAATCGCACCGTATGTTTGAATCAGCTCATCGTCCCTCCAGGGTTAATCCCCGCCATAAGAATGAGAAATTTCCACCATTGTGTCAATGCTCATTTGTATGTATTGCCGCCAGTAGTAACGTCAGCCAAAAGATTCTGCTCCGAAATATCATTGAACTTTATATGTTGCCACTAAATATACAATTTTTATTTTACCAAGTAAGGCCCACTAAGCTGTACAGCTCTTTTTCAGGAGCGACCTGGCCGCAAACGATAAGTCAACAAAGTGGCTTATCACGTAAAAATTTATAGCAGACAATTACTCTAAATGCACGTTTATAAATATGGAGGGAAAACCCGGAGGACCCGGAGAAAAATCCACGCGACCAAGGAAACCACATGCGTCAGGGTCTGGATTGAACCCATGACCTCCTGTATACCAGGCGAGGTAGTTACCATCTTCTACCATCGGGGCTCCTCCAGAAATAAAAAGCCACTTCGGATGGCCACATGGAATGTTCGAACGCTCACTGCGGAGGAGAGGCTGCCACTCCTCTGTCGGGAGCTGGACCGGTACCGCCTGGATCTCTGGTATTCAGGAGGTCCGGTGGACAGTCCTCTACTCGGGGCAGAAGACTGCCAAACAACAGGGTGTGGCTCTTCTTCTGCACAAAATAATGAAGGGGGTGTGGGAGCATGGCGGTGAGGTGTGGGAAGCTGTAAGCCCCAGGCTACTCTGGGCTCGCCTTCCCATCAACCAGAGGCGAGGAGTGGTGGTCGTGGTTACTTATGCCCCCATGGGCTAGATCAGCTCAATAACGTCAGGAGGCTGCTAGATTTTGTGCAGCTCATGGGCTTGTAATTACCAACATGCTGTTCCGGCATCGGTGCATCCACACAACATCATGGATGCACGCCGGGTCCAAGCAAGAACATCTGCTGGGCTACATAATGATGGAACAGCGGATGCGGGTCGATGTCCTTGACACCAGGACCTACCGTGGAGCTGATCTGCCCACTGACCATCGACTTGTCATCTGTAAGATGCGCCTGCCATTCTTCCACTCCGGTGGTGGGTGTACACCCAGGACCCCAGTTAAACCTTTAGTGGCATGGTCTCAGATAGCTGATGAAAGTTGTAAGCGAGAATTTCATTATCGCTTGCGGCTGGGGTTGGCATCGTCCCACACTCCTCCTGATATCGAGGGGAAATGGGTGAGGTTTAGGACTGTGGCTCATGCAGCTGCAATGGCTGCTTTGGGTACACGGTCCAGACCTCCCCAGAGACCCTGGCTGACAGAGGAGGTGTTCAAGCTGACTGAGAAAAAGCGACAGGCCCACTATCAACGGCTATAGCATCCCACGTCGGAGAATGAGGAGGCCTACCGCAGCTTTCGTTAGGAGTTTCGGAGAGCCGTGAGGTGCTGTAAGGATGGGTGGTGATCGCGGGTTGCTGAGGAGATGGAGTCTGCCTCAATGGCCCGTGATCACAAATCGCTCTTGAATTCCATAATAAAGTAACCTGCAGCGTCACACCTATTATTAGGGGAAAGTACGGTGATCCAATCTCTGACCCCCATGAAAAGGTTTGCAGATTTGCTGAGCATTTTTGTGAGGTCCTGGGGAAGGGGAAATCCCTCAGCCAGGAAAACAACGTGGGACAAAGTGGGGATTACCCTGCCGAGGCTGCGATGCCTCAAATATTGGAAGCAGAAGTCACCCCCTGTGAGTGGCTGGCTTAGGTGCCATCTGTTGAGGAAGTGCTGAAGGCGATCAGGAAAGGCACCGGGCAGAGATGATCTCCCAAGCGAAATGCTGAGGGAGGGTGGAGTTTGTGCACAGACTGCCCTACATGACATCATAACAACAGTCTGGACCACTGGATGGGTTCTGCAGGATTGAAAGGATGCCCTGGTGCCCCCCCTCTTTAAGAAGGAAGACCACACAGACTGTAACAACTACAGGGGAATCTCACTCCTCAGTGTGCCGGGAAAGGTCCTGGCAAGGATTATTCAGAATCGCCTTGCTAGGTACACTGAGGATAAGCTTGCGGAGCCCCAATGCGGTTTCAGGAAAGGGCGGTCCTGCACAGATGCCATATTATCTGTCCGTCTGCTACAACAGAGATGTAGGGAATTCCAACAAGACCTATATCTCTGCTTTATTGACCTGGTCAAGGCCTATGATACCATCAGTAGGTCTGGGCTCTGGGTTGTTCTTCGTGCTTTCGGAGTCCCTGACCCTTTGCTCACGATCATTAAGGACCTTCATGGTGGTGAGCGGGCCTGGGTAAAACTACGTGACCGGGAGTCAGTCATTCTCTGTACACCTTGGTGGTGCGACAGGGATGTCCTCTTGCACCCATTAACATCTATTTTGACCACGTAGTTTGTGAAGCCTTCAATAGCTGTACCGGAGGAACTTCCATCTGGTACAGATACAATGGGAGGCTGATCGATGCCCAGGTGCGGTAAAGGGATGGCTCCCTATTGCTCAACCATGTTACGTATGCGGATGATCTGGTAATTGCTGCTCACTCAAAGGAGGAGTTGGAGGCGCTGCTGCTGAATCTGGAGCTTGCCACGAAGAGGTGGGGCCTTACCATCAGCCCCACCAAAGCTAAGCACCTGCCTGGGTAATTTGTACCATCGGACACTCCACCCCCACAACTCACAATTGGTGATAGGGCAGTTGTAGAGAGAGTGGAGAGTTTCCCATACCTGTGCAGTGTACTCATGACCGGCTTCGGTTTAACAGCAGAGGTCTCACTCCGAATCAGTCGAATCGCATCTTTTCATCAGTTGTGTAAAGCTGTGTGGAAGCTTCCTGGTCTCTCGCTCTGCACGAAGCTTCAGGTCTTCTCAGCCACAGTCATTCCCTCCCTTCTTTACGCTTACGAAACGTGGACCCCCCTAATGGAACATCTTCGCCGGTTAGAAACATTTAGGCTGCCCTGCCTACAATCCATCCTGGGTTTAACCAGGCTGGGTTGTGTGAGGAGCTCACAAATCCTTGAAAGATTTGGACAAAGTCCTATCAGTGAGCTACTACGGCAGGCAAGGCTGTGTTGCCTGGGCCATGTAGCCCGCATACCCAGCCACTGCATGCCTAAACATCTCTTGTTCCGCCGGATCGAGGGGGCTAAACGGATGCGGCATGGGATAGAAAAGAGATGGAGTGATGTGGAGGAGGCTCGTGAAGGACGCTACTGAGCAGTTGTAGGCAGTCGCCCTCCAACAACAACAGAGGGCGGAGGAGCGACGCTCACAACATCGAGCGGAGCGCCGGGTGGCTAAAGCACAGCAGGTTGGCACAGTAGGGGGCACAGGTGGTGCATCAGCCAGTCGTCTCAGTCAGTCGACCTGTGGCATCTGGGTCTGCCCTGTTACCTTCTGCCAGTGGGCGTTCGACACTTCACGTGGCCTCAAGGTGCACATAGCCTGGCACAAGCGTCGTGGTGACGTCAATGGCGGTTGTTATGTGTCTGTGTGCTTGTCTGCACGTGCGTGTGTGTGTGCATGTGTGTGTCTGTGTGCGTGTGTGTGTCTGCGCGTGTGTGCATGTGCGCAGGTTCAACATGATACGGTTCTCGGGTGACGTGGCGTGCTGGCAGGAGCGGCCGGTCGAGGTGTCGGACGAGTCGTGCCGCGACGCCGTGCGCTGGGTCTCCTCCCTGGTGGCGCACGGCGGCACCGACACGCTGGGGGCGCTGCGGGTTTGCATGCATCTACACACCCACACGGACCCCCCCCCCCCACACCGTTTTCTGAGCCATGCGGACCGGTGCCGTGGGTATCTTCCATCAGCAGTTGTGTTTCATAACGGCGGTGGACGTATCCCCATCACCCGGGATGTACGTACATATGTATGTACGTATGTATATTAAACTTCTTTCGCACCATACGTAGCCAACCGCGCTAATCGGAGCTGCGAGGAAAGGACAACAAACTAAATACAAAAAGCAGTTCTAGATAAATAAATTTTCGATGTAATATTGTGTTTTTGTCTATCGTAGTGTAGTGTATAGTAGTGTATAATGTAGTGTGTAGTGTAGTGTATAGTGTAGTATGTAGTGTGCAGTGTATGTATAGTTGAACCCCTATTGCATTGTATGTAGCCAACTGCGCTAATCGGAGGTGCGGGGGAAAGACAACAAACTAAACACTATAATCAGTTCTAAAGAAATACTTATTCTATTTCATATAGTGGTGTAGTGTAAAGTAGTTTAGTGTATCGTAGAGTATAGTGTAGCGTAGTGTATCGTGTAGTATGTAGTGTATAGTGTCGTTTGTATTGCAGTGTATAGTGTAGTGTATGTATGTTTGAATCTCTTTTGCACTGTACATAGCCAACCGTGCTGATCGGAGGTGTGGGGTAAGTACAACAAACTAAACGCAAAGAATCTAGTTCTAAAGAAACGAGTTTTGTGATTCTAGATGACAATTTAAAAGTGCATAGCTCCCAGTGGCTTCCTCATATCGGAAGGAAGAGCGTTCCAGACGGCCGCAGAAGCGCATTATTGCTAATGTGCATTGTTCTCTGATTATGCGGTGGTAGTTGCGTTTCTCAAGACCACTGCGTTACGGAAAATTCGCGATATAATAAAGCCCCCCACACGGTGGCCGTCTCTGTTCAATGGCCAGCCAAAAGCCGCCGCTGCTGCTGCGAGGGTGAAGCTGTGAGGGCAGCGCTGTCAGCGCCGCAACACGACTACATTTGTCATGCCAGTGCTAATATTGTCACGCCGCACGAGATATTTATATAAGGTTATTGCAGACCCCCCCAGGACGGATTAGGATATTTGCCAACAGTGTTGTGGTGCACGATCAGAAATTAAACGTTTGCTGTTAGACACGTGACGAAATACAGAGATCCCCCGCGTGTAGCCTTGACAGACTTTTGGGTCAAGTGTTTTTAGCGAGTACATAAGAAGGCCGGCACGGCACACGAGGGGTGGGTGGCCAGCACCACGCCTGGCCGCCTTTGTCTTCCCAGTTGCGATGTTTACACACCGCACCGGGTACTTATTTTTGAGGCACAGTTGACCTAACAGAGGCCCAGGACTGGTCCAGATAATCATCACTGGTGTTGGCCGTGAGTGGGAATCGAACTCGGGTCGCTGGGTTCGTAGCACAGCATGCTAGCTACTCCTCTACCGCTCCTCCTGTTGACAGTTCAAAAAAGACAAAGATCCCCCGTATAGCCTTAACAGATTTTTGGGGCAAGTGCTGTTCATAAGCACCTATGAAGGCCGGCACGGCACACGAGGGGTGGGTGGCCAGCACCACGCCTGGCCGCCTTTGTCTTCCCAGTTGCGATGTTTACACACCGCACCGGGTACTTATTTTTGAGGCACAGTTGACCTAAGAGGCCCAGGACTGGTCCAGACAATCATCATTGGTGTTGGCCGTGAGTGGGAATCGAACTCGGGTCGCTGGGTTCGTAGCACAGCATACTAGCCACTCCTCTACCACTCCTCCTGTTGACGATTCAACAAAGACAAAGATCCCCCGTATAGCCTTAACAGATTTTTGGGGCAAGTGCTGTTCATAAGCACCTTTGAAGGCCGGCATGGCACACGAGTGGGTGGGTGGCCTGCACCACGCCCGGCAGCCCTTGTCTCCCTCGTGGCGATGCTCACACCGCACCGAGTACTCATTTGAGGCTAAGGTGACTTAAGGGAGGCCTAAGACCGGTTCAGTTAATGGTCCCTGGTGTTGGCCGTGAGCGGGAATCGAACTGATGCATAGCACAGCGCGCTAATCACTCCACTACCGCTACCCCTGTTCACAGTTCAATGCACACACGGACACACGCGCACACACACACGCACGTATACGCACACACACACACGCACGTATACGCACACACACACACGCACGTATACGCACACACACACAGATGTTTCCCATGCATGCAACCACACGGTCACTCAAATGTGTGCATTACTGCACAAGTACGTATGAAGACGGCAAGTGTAAAACAGTGAACATTTACATCCAGCCCAGTATGTATAAGTCACTCCGTTAATGTCATTACGCATTTCGAAAGAACAAACGGATTCTCACAGAGAGGCTTTGAAGAAAATTTCGAAAAATACAGGGATGCTACGGTAGTGCGACTTTGGCCATGAAACAGATGCGCTTCTGCGCTTGTTTGGAACGGTCTTCCTTCCTGAGATTAGGAAGCTACTGGGAGCTGTGCACTTTTAATTATAGATTGACAAATTCATTTCTTTAGAACTGCTTTTTGTGTTTATTTTGTTGACCCCCCCCCCCCGCATTTTCGATTAGCACGGTTGGCAACGTACGGTGCGAAAGAAGTTCAACATATGTACGTACATTCATAATGCGTCTCTTGACAACGCTGGCAGACTGAAGAAATTTCTGTCAATTCAACATACATACAAATCCAAACGATACACCACACAGCAATCCTTTGTAGTCTTCGCTTCCTTGCAGGAATAGCGAAACTGCACAAACTTTCTCCTGGAGCCCTTTCGTGACCAGCAGACGTCGACATTGGCATTCAGCTCTCCTGAACCACATTGCCATCACATGCAAGAAGAAGTCGAAACCCAGTAAAAAAGTTAAACACGTATACATACCGGGGTTCTTCTTCATTGTGATGCACGGTGACAACCAAACTTGTTCTGCTGCTGCACAACAACTGCAGACAAAGGCATTCTCCCTTCCCCCCATCGATCTGGGAAGGGGTCATTTAAGGGCATGGTAACACATTTATCTATGTTAATTATGTTAATCATACCCTCATACATATGTATGTACGTTGCACTTCTTCCACAAACATACTTAGCAAACCCTGATAATAGGAGGTGCAGGGGCAGGGAAAGGACAACAAACTAAACACAAAAAGCAGTTCTAAGGATCTGAGCTTTCAATCTAGATGATTTAAAAGTGCACAGCTCAGGTGGCCTCCTAATATCGGAAGGAAGAGCATTCCAGACGGCCGCAGAAGTGCATTATTGCTATGTACAGTTTGATCTCCTGCAATGCGGTAGTTGTGTTCCTGAAGAACACCGTGTTATGGTAAAATCGCGTTATTATTATTGTTACGGTCCATTCTCCTATAACGAGGTGCCAGTTGCATTCCTGAAAAACACCGTGTTATGGAAAAAATGCATTATAATAAACAATATATAATATAGGGTAATTCAGCAGTCCGCGATAACACGTGAGAAATGCATAAGCACTCCGAAAAAAGACTGAGGCGCATGGTTAGCATCTAAAAGCATCCAGCAGCATCCCAATGCCTTGTGTGATGCTACGCCGAGGCAGCCGTACGACCGCTTATTCCTACTCGCGCAATGTCGTTCCGTTCGTTCAATTGCATTATATCCAATTCGCCATCCGTGTTATAAAAAAATGCGTTCCCAAATACGTTAATCAAATTATACCCAATTAGCATCATGAAAACAACATGCAGCGTTACAGGAGAACCAAACTGTACGATAAAATAAATAAGTAGACCTCCGAGGTCATCTCTCCACGTACGGGTAACATTCGTTTAGTCCACCGACCTTCAGGGCTCCTTGAGCAGCCTTCCCTCATTTAAAAAAAGACGTGAATTCATAGATCGGGTTTGGAAAGCCCAACGGCTGATAGGACTAAAAGATTCAAATCCATTTTCAGGAGGAAAGAAGCACGGGCGGTGAATTAACGTTGCGGTGTTGCCTGTACAACGATCCATAACAACGCTCGCGTCCACAGCCATTGACTTGCTCACCCGCACGTGCGTTCGTGCGTAAAGAATGCCTCATATTTTTTAATCTTGACGAAAACCTACTCTTTTTTTACGCTTTCGAAAAACCCGTGACATCTGCCACGATCCTCTCCCTCTACAAAAAGCGTTTGTGGCATATTCCCCCCCCACCCTTCCTTTATACATTCATTCATTATCCTTTCTTCAAAAGTTACCGACCCGGCAAAGCTACGCATTGCTCAGAGCAATTACACCCTGCGGGGGGGGGGGGGTCGTGGTGCGGTGTCGTTATAGACGGGAGTGCTTGTATCACAAGTCAGTGTGTAGTGCACATAGCCTGGCACAAGCGCCCTGGTGACGTCACCATCACTTAGTGGCGAATGGCGGTTGTTGTTGTAGGGGGTACAGCTAGTGCATCTGCCAGTAGTCATCTCAGGCAGTCAACCCATGGCACCTGGTGGGTCTGTCCCCGTGACCTGCCATCAGCGAGCCTTCAATACTTCACGTGGCCTCAAAGTGCACCTGGCCTGGCAGAGGCGCCGTGGCGACATCACCGTCACTTAAGTGGTGAATGGCGGGGTATTGCTATTAGCAGGCTGCCAGTCAGCACCCATGCCCGGTGCTGACCACATGGCATCATTTAGGCATCGGGACTGGCTGGCTCAACAGGCACAGCGAGCACCGCGACCTGCGATGGGGGAGGGAGGCGGTTTCACAACCAGCGACGCTGCCGTATATCCCACCATTTTCTTGCTGGCCGCATTCCCCGGGCACCAAGTGTGCGACGCTGATTGCGCTGGCACAGCTGTGCATTAAGGAAAACGACTGCTGTGCCTTCCGCATTGCGCGTGTGTGCCCTTTCTCGGTTTTTGAAAGCGGCAATGAACGAAATGCGCTGCTCATTGCGATGCACAGTGACGATGCCGTTATGAAAATTTAGCATTCCGCCAGCTCCGCCAAAATAAATATTCTCTGGGTCCGATTGCCGGCCGCGGTGAAACGGCAAAACCCACCGCCGGCTCGTGACGAAGTGCACGGCAGCCCCGCCGCTCAATCCGTTCCGTGCCCGTTGGTGGTGCGCGCATCCGCAGGCGGCATTCTCCCAGGAGGGCGTGCAGGGACTCTACGTGGTGTCGGACGGCCGCCCGGACACGAGCGGAGACCTGGTCCTGCAAGAAGCGAAACGCCTCGGTGGGGAGCACGGCTCCATCACCATCCACACCGTCGCCTACCACTGCCACGATCCGTACGTGTGGATCCTCCTGCCCCCCGCCGCTACCCTGACCGTAACTCCGCTCCTTGCACGGGTTGTTGTCTACACCTCCCTCGTTGTGGAATTTGGGGTAAAATGTCCCGAGCCGAATGGATTGGTCCAAGTCGAAGTGAATTTTCCTGTTTTACAGCCCTAAGGTGGTGGTGAAAAGTCCTCATTCCTATGGTGGCGGTGGAAATTCCTCATTCCGATGGTTCAGGGGGGCGAGTCTATACACAGGACGATGACTGTTGACTTCCCCACAATGTGGTACTAACTTTCATGCCCCTGCAGATATGATGGGCTGAGTCAGCCTCCAACCAGCAATTGAAACTCGCAATCTTTCGATTGCGAGCCGCTCGCTCTACTGCTAAGCTACCTGGCCGAAGACGCAGGATGTGTTCACGGTATTGTCGGTGATGTGGGTGATGTGAGCATTGTGAGCATTGTGAGTGATATGGGGCGATGTGAGCATTGTGAGCAATGTGGGTGATGTGGTTGATTTGTGCGATGTGGGTAATGTGAGTAATGCGGGTGATGTGAGCGATGTGGGTGCTGTAGCCGATGCGGGCGCTGCATCTGTGCCCCCCCCTCCACCCCCCCAGGTGTGCGCGCCACTTCCTGCGTAGGCTGGCCGTGTGCTCAGGCGGCCGATTCCACTCGTGGCCGGCCCCCGCGCCGGACGCCCAACTGGCCGCTCACCGCATGCTCGCCGGAGGCTTCAGCGACGAACACGTGAGAGCTCGGTGGCGGCACGTGACGACGACGACGACGATGTTCGCGCGCCTACGCTCGTCATCGCGCGCGTCGTTACGCATCCAAAATAATATCAATGAACCAAACTTTTTATTTTAACAGGGTAAGGCCCACTGAGCTACATGTAGCTCTTTTTCAGAAGCAACCTGGCCAACGAAATGGGTGTTATCATCACGTGGAAATGTATTGCAGCCAAATACTTTTAATGCGTGATGTTGATTCTAAATGTGGAGGTAGAAACCGGAGTACTCGGAGAAAAATCCACTTGACCACGGAGGAGAGACATGCAAACTCCAAATATACAGTAGGTCGAGATTGATCCCACAACCTCCGGTATACCAGAACAAACTTGATTTGGCGCTTTCGTGACTGTAGGAATTACTCTTTGATTCTTTTGGTAAAGTGACGTTGAAAGAGAAAATAATAAATTAAATAATAGCATACGACGTTTCGATTGCAATACAAGCAATCATCATCAGGTACAAATGAAAGAGAAAACAAACCTAGTAAACTTAGAACTATAATGCAATACAACACAGATAGATAGTCAGCTAACATAACAGTCAACACCCTACCTGGTTGATTACGTTCTTCCAAAGATTGCTAAATTTAAGAGAGAGATAAAACACAGAACAGGAGACACATAGACAGACACATAAGCAGAGAGAGATAACACAGAGACACAGAGAGAGAGAGACACACACATAGGCACACAGAGAAACAACGCCCCTGTGTCGAGGCCTTAAATAGACAGAGAGGGGGGCAGAGAGAGAGAGGGGGGGTAGAGAAATTATCATGTCAATGAGAGACCTGGCGCAACTGCAGGAAGCAAGGGCAGCAAAACGAAGGGAGACAGAGAGAGAGAAAACACACTAAATCAAACAAACTTAGTAAAAATTGGAAATGTAATGCAATGCAACACAGAGGGTCGGTCAACACACAATTAACGCATGGCCTGGTTGATTATGTTCTTCCAAAGATTGCTAAATTAGAAGTTAAGTGTGAAATTTGAGAGAGAGACAAGACACAGACACGGAGACACAAAGACAGACACAGGGGCAGAGAGAGAGACAACACAGAGACACAGAGAGAGAGGGAGAAAACAAACTTAAAACCTCCCCGTAGAGGTGGTTAAAACTTGAACCAGTGTGCGTTGGTAATGTCCTACGTACACAACCGGAAAGCTACGGGAATCGTGAGATCATCAGGTTAGTGGTGCTGTAAATCCCCGGCTGCCCAGACCCTGATTGCCACTGTCCCCACCACCACCCACCCCCCCACCTCCCTCCGTGTTGGCCCAGGATCCCATCCTGCCTGCGTTCGAGGGAGACGACCTCAGGAGGCTGGCCGACGAGATTGCCCGCGCGCGTGCACACCTCACCCAGGCGCGCGGCTTTCAGTGAGCAAACGCTTGGACACGTGCACGGACGCACACGTCACACGTGGCGTCCACCCGGGCCCGGGGAAAATCCCACCATGTGGGTCCCCCCCCAACGCCATCGAACAAAACCGGAAGTGTTCCATCTTACACCACCGTGCCGTCGAAGCGCGCGGGGGCCCCCCAAAGCGCGGGGCCTGGAGCAGTGGTCCCAATTTGCCGCGTACCCTCGGGATGGGCTCTGCCTTCTATTATTTAAGTCCCATTTAAAAACCTTATGGATTACTTTGGCCTTTAATTGAGTTGACCTTGGTCTGGGTGTCCTCTGTGCCTTGTTTGTTTATTTTTTTGCTTTTCTGTACTTCTTGTATGCACGTTGAACTTCTTTTTCACCGTACACGTGCTACACATTCGTGTTATTGCATCGTGAGATGCCATTTTGCATGAATGACGCCTTATAAAAAAAACATTGTTATCACTGTGCACAATAGGTCGCATAAGCGATACAATTAAGAAAGCTGCCATCTCTGGCTTCGCTGCTCGCGTTGCAGTGTTTCTGCTGTGCGGTGGTGACCTGTGTCTGGCTGTTGTGATGCAGAGTCCTTCTGCACGAGAGACGGACAAATGAAACCCCGGCTAAGGATCGACATGCGCACACAGGTAATGCTGACATACACAACATATACACGCAAATACCACTTAACATGCACACACATATGCAGTAAATATTACGCAGTGTTCATTTTGTTGGGAAGCCACTTTTAAATCGAGATTGAAAACTAAATTCTTTAGAACGGCTTTTGCGTTTAGTTTATTGTCATTCCCCCCTGATTAGCACGGTTGCCTACGTATGGTGCGAAAGAAGTTCAACGCGCATATGTAAAATTCACTTTTTTTTTTAGTAGGCTTACTTTATTCAAATAAACTTCGTTGAAAGTGCATCTCCTTGCATTTCATGCGTTTTAACAATAGGAATTTAAAAAGCATGCACAGTTTGTATTCACTCTCGGAGAGAGAGAACGAGTCTGGGGGAAGGCAGCCAGATCCAGTGCCAACAATTCCCCAACCTCTGTGGGTCATACATTGGGATGATGTCTCACAAACTCCGTTAATGAGTGCCCAATGAGGACGTTTATATCCTCAGAGGCTATCTGAGATGGCCTGAGACTGTGAGAATAAGATCTTGATGCATTTTCAGCGACCACCCTTCTACTGAAAAATGCGTTTGGGCGCTCGACAAACGCCTCCATAACTGGAGTTATCTGAGTTTACCGAAAGAACCAAAGAGTATGGAGTTATCGTATCCGGTTATAGTTAATGCACAACGATGCTCATGATTAGTTTTAGTCGAAGTAACCGTGTCATGCAGTAAAAGCCCAATGTGTCTCGCTCGGCTCATTACCCCGCAATTTCAGATTTACTGCTGGTCATGTCATGTCCCTTGTAAAAAACAAATACAGGCGGTCTGATTTACGACGATCCACATCTACGACGTTTTTCTAACGCTACCGTCGATAAGATTTATGACGCAGAAACTTGACTTACGACACATCTTCTGACACAACTCAGAACGCATTGAAATGGAGTCTGTCGGTCTGGTTTCCGATGTGATTTGGTGTGGAGCTTTTGTTCTTCCCGAGTGTTTTTTGTGGACGATTACCAATTAAACCCTGTTAGATACGGCTGATGAAAGGAAAAACACATCGGCTAGTGATGTATCCACTGTTTCTACCGTGTGGGAAAATAGGGGTCCGATTTACGACGACGAGGTTTCGAGGAACGTGTTGTGACGTAAAAGCGGGGACCGCCTGTCATATTAACGTTACGTTTGCCGGGCGGCGATGATCGAGGCTGCAGATGAGGCAGCGTGGCAATGAATCGCGCACACACATATGCACACGCGTCCCCTCTACACACAACATAAACACTTACAAGGGTTTGAACGAACATCCCAAATGGAACTCACAGTCAAGTGTGTTAAAACTAAACTACAGTATTTTTATTTTACCAGCTAAGGCCCCACTGAGCTATATATATCTTTTTGAGAAGTGACCTGGCCACAAATGATAGCTGAATGAAGTCGCCTATCACGTGGAAATGTATAGCAGTCAAATACTCGAAAGCACCTGGAGAAAAATCCACGTGACCACCGAGAGACACGCAAGCTCCAAATATACAGCAGGCGTCAGGGTTGTGATCGAACCCACGATCTCCTGCATACCAGGCGAGGGAGTTAACATCTCGCCACCATGGCGCCCCCGTTGCTCAACATTATACCCAGCTTTTACTCTATAGTATTTGGGAAACCGTTGATGTACACAATGGCTTTTCACCTCATTCTGTTTTGATGTCGTCTAACACCTCTCTCATGGGATGGACATCATCTGGTTAACCACGTGACTGCGTTGCTTCACGGTCGCCTTCCCATGCATTAATATAAAATGCATCTCGCGTTTAGTTTTGCCTGCGGAGATCAAGGATACAAAGCAGATTGGCCTTTCAGCCAATATAGTCGCATTCAACCATCAGCATCGTCATTGTTGTCTATCCACTGCTCGATAAATGCATCTCGACACTCATGTTTTTGTGATGTCACAATCCGTGCAGAAAATCAATAGTTACCGCCCTGAAAAGAGCAATACTGTATTTTTGTGTGTATGCGTATTCCTCTTCTTTGTGGGAAGTGTCAGAGCAATGGTAAGCACGCTGTGCTACAAACATGGCGACCCAAGTTCAATTCCCACTCACCAATAATTCCTGCTCACCAATAACAGTGGTGAATATTTGAACCGGTTCTGCAGCCTCAACTGGGTACCTGGTGCAGTGTGTAAACATCGTCACTGGGGAGACAAAGGCGGTCGGGCGTGGTTCTGACCACCCACTCCCTTGTGCCATGCCAGCCTTCATAGATGCTCGCTAACAGCGCTTGCCTAAAAAACCTGTTCAGGTTATATGGGGGATCTTTGTCGTGTATGCATTAGCCTGGGACCTAGCCTGGCACAGGCGCTGCGGTGACATCACCACCACTTTGTGGCGAATGGTGGCTGTTGTTGTGTATGCATGAAACCGTTTTTCTCATCACAGAGGGCTGTGTCAACCCACAGAAGGAAGCGTCTGGGAGGGGACGGGGGGCAAGAAAGGTGGAGTCTCCGAAGGTCACCCGGCATGAAAATCAAGTCACACATTGATTTCTGCAAACCCACACCATCCATATATAGATCCATCTCTCCCAGCGCACATGTAAGGCTCACGGCAGGTTCATGTACATTTGTAAATTTGTTTTTGTGTTTTGTGCGTGTGTGTACTACACGTAGGGCGTCGCGGTGACGAGATGTTAGCTCCCTCGCCTGGTATATGGGAAGTCGTGGGTTCGATTCTGACCCTGACGCCTGTATTTTTGGAGTTTTTGAATGTTCTCCCCATGGTTACATGGATTTTTCTCCTGGTCCTCCGGTTTTTCCCTCCACATTGAGAATCAACGTGCACTTAAGAGTATTTGGCTGCGAAAAATGTCCATGTGATAAGCCACTTCGTTGAGCTATCATTTGTGATGGTCAGGTCGCTTCTGAAAAAAAAGCTCTATAGCTCCGTTGGCCTTATCTGGTAAAATCTAAAAATGTATTTAGATTAGCACGGCCTTCTTGATTGTCCAAAACATATGACATGACCACACCGCAAATCTCACAACCGTCCAGTCATGTTAACATCCACACACAGATTGTGTTTATTGTTTTAATATTGCACCACAATGCAGTTACTCTTTACCAAACAGTGTTCGTCGCATTGGACAATTAAGAAACCAACAGCGAGCTCTCAGGTAATATTCGAGGTTATGCACGTCTAAATTGTAAGACATTTGGTGGACATGAAATTTTATTCTGAAATTGCTAATGCACCTGAAAGGTCTTTTTTTGTTGCTTATAGAGTATTAAATAAAGAGGCAATTACTCAAACGATATGATTATACGTCATGCTTATTATAGCCCTGACAATCACCCTAATGGGCACGATTTAACCATTACTATGTATCACCCACTGATAAGATTATGGTTCTCTTGAAATATATATTTTAAAAAGCCTTCAAATTAAATATGAGCAACAACACTATAACGCGTGCGCTTATAGGTAATTTCCATTAATTGGAAGTCAGCGTTCGATGAGCGCCATGTTGGCGAGATCTTAACTACCTTGCCTGGTATGCAGGAGGTCGTGGGTTCGATCCTGACCCTGACGCCTGCTGTATATTTGGAGTTTGCATGTCTCTCTCCCCGTGGTCGCTGGATTTTTCTCTTGGTCCTCTGGTTTTTTTTTCTTCCACATTTAGAATCAACGTGCGATTAGAGTATTTGGCTGATATAAATTCCCATGTGATAAGCCACTTCGTTGAGCTATCACCTGTGATAGCAGGTCGCTCCTGAAAAAGAGCTACATAGCTCAGTGGGCCTTACCTGGTAAAAACATTTTTTCCATAAATTCTTGCCTTGTTTGCTTTTTGGCAAGTGAGTGGGTCAAGGTTAAGGTCCAGCAGATGTGATGTTTATACGCTGCGAAACTGTCATTTGGAAAAACCCTGCCAGATGTATCACCCATCCTTGACTCCCCCCCCCTTTCCATTACCAGCAATAGGTAGAGTTATAATGGTGAGGGTAACGGAGCAGTGCTGTTTGTAATGAGGCCAACACCGGTGCTGTACACAAACACAATGTTGCCTTGCTACTGCTGAAATATATTCAAAGGGGGGCACATTCTGGGTTGTGATACTGCTGGTCGCTCGGAGGTACCACATTACATTTGCTGTGTACATGCCCCTGGTTGAGCTCACGGCGTATTGTGAAAATTCCCACGATGCCATGCGCACAAAATATTTCTGATATCGTCTTTCGTATGGATTAAAGGCAGCAGATTAAAGATGCAATTTTAGAATTGTTATCCACTCAATTGTCTATTAAGAAGCAGAGTGGATCTCGTCCATTTCTCCTTTAAAGGAGTGAATACAGCAGCAGCGGTGGAGTGTTTACGATGCTGTCGATGGCTTTGGGATTCGTGGCCGCACTCTCGCAGGCCGCCGAGTCTTTGATGGGCCGTTTGTGCATCAGGTGGCCGCGTCGGCCATGTCCTGTCCCGATTCGGTTGATGGTCGACGATTCGCACACGATATAGTGCGTTTTGTGTTCCATATGCGTGCTTTTCTGGAGTATTGTAAAGAATGGACAAAAGCACAAGATATCCTTCTACACGCTCACGTTGGCTCATTATTTAAAGGTAATTTTTTTCTCGAACCCGGTGCACCATAACTAGCCCCTGTTTGGGGAGAATGAACTACTCAGGGCGCACTCCCTGGACATGCAAAGTCTTACTCGTAGTTTCCTGTAACGCTGCGTGTTGTTTTCATAAGGCGAGTTGGACATGACGCGACGAATGTATTAGGGAAACGCATTTTACAATGCGGATGCGACTTGGATATAATGCAAATCGAGTGAACGGAACTACGTCGCGTGAGTAGGAATATGCGGTCGTAACGGCTGCCTCGGCGTAGCATAACACACGGCATTGGGATGTTGCTGGATGCTTCTAGATGCTAACCACACACCTCAGTCTGTTCGGCCTGCGTACACATCTCACGTGTTACTGCGGACTGTTGCTTTACCCTATATTATATAGTTTATTATAACGCGATTTTTCCATCACCCGGTGTTCTTCAACTACCACCGTGTTGTAGGAGAACAGACCCGTATGTTTACGTGCCTTCTGTCATGACTGTTGATTCGGGTTGAATAAAAACAACAAGAAAAGTCATTGTCTTCTTGTTCAAATGAACATTCACATTCAACATGATGGTGCACATCTTCTTGGCAACAACGCAACCCCTCGTGGAAGTTCCTTACTCCTGTGGCAGATGCGAATCGCTCCGTCAAGTCATTACGTTTGACCTCTCACAAATTGGAACGCATCTTTATCGACCAGATAGTCCATGGGCCGAGTCAACCCTCGGGGTTCAATTTGAACTCGACCACGAGTCAAACGTGCTACTCATAGTGCCGCCAGGCTGGTCAATTCACTGTAAATGATGAAATTTCAATACGGTTACCGCTTCTTCTTGGTTCTTTCGGTAAAGTCACGTAGAAGGGAAATAATAAAATAATAAAAATAAAACTATACAATTCTCACGACGTTTCGGCCACAACGCAAGCAGCCGTCCTCAGGTGAAGAAACAGAGCTGTCGGAAAGACAGCTTCTTACTGAACACTGCTAAGCTTGGCAGCGTATTTTAAGCTGGGTGGGAGGAGGAGGGAAATTTTTTATAATAAAGAACTGCAGCAGCCAAACCACCGCGTATCAAGCTAGTGCATTATGTGGAAAACAAAAAAGGGAGTTTCTAAAGAACTACAAATACCCTACTACCATACAATAAACCTATGGAAAAAAACTAAATATAAACTACATCAATATAATCAATGTACTCAATATACTCTCCAATAAGTTGAGCTATTAACATAAAGTAACTGGGTATACACTTCACTATATAATGAATACTATAGTAAACTGAAAAAAAAAACCTAAAATATAAACTACATCAATATTATATTCTTAGTTTTTTCGGTAAAGTCACGTTGAAGAGAAACAACAAAATAACAAAATATATATAAAACAAAAAATTCTCACGACGTTTCGACCATAACTCAAACGGTCATCATCAGGTGTGTTGCTTTGCATAAATGTATTTTTAAACGGCACATTTATTTATTTATAAAAAACGTTGGCGTTAACAATAAGTCACTATACATTACAATTCGATGTCGAAAAAAGTAGCGGTTTCTTTTCCTCAACGTTAGCACCACGGAAAGCGGCGAGCGTTGTTCAGACGGACGAGTCCATCTATGCTCGGAACAGAGGAGAGGGGAGAGAGGGAGAAACAGCCACGGTGCGCTACTCTGTCCTGTGCTGCGTTACAACTATGCTATAAACTAGACTACTATACATTACAATGTTCTACCTTCCAATCTAAACTACACTGTATAATATCGTATACACAGCCCAATATAAGCTCTAATATTATGCATTATATTGATATGCCTCCAACTAAACGTTTCTCTACATTACACGACTATACACCGTACTATACACTGCCATAGACAAACCCCACCATTGAATTATACAATGCATTACTATACACTACCCTATACTTTAGACTATAATAATATTAGACTTGTAATATTACACTATGTATTATTCTACCAACCCTACTGTATACCACACTGCTGTATATTCACTTTACAATTACGATACTATATATTGCCTTATAAATTATATTAAACATTACACTGTTATACTATTTATTATACAATATGCTATAAACCATACCATTGACCGTCGCGTGAAAGGTACTAAGAGGCAATGCCAGCGAATGGACTGTGGTCTGAAAGTCACCGTAAAAGACAATCAAGAACCGAAATGGTTTATCACGTCCATCCAATGATTACTAAGCCAGAATGCATCTTATCGGTTGAAATTGTCTCTGTGTTTGTATATGTGGATGGCCTCATGAACGAATCTCTCATGGTAGCCGGATGGCTTGCAGAGAACCTCCGTCTTGTAGAAGTCAATGTCGTGTGAGCCCACTGAATTATAACAGTGATCTGCCACGGCTGAGGTGTTCGTCCTACCGTGTTTCAGGTCTGCTTTATGTTCACGGATGCGGACCGAGACATGTTGTTTGGTTTCTCCAATGTAACTGCTACCACAGAGGCAACTTAGTTTGTAGACACCCGGGTACTGTATTTCTGGAACCACATCTTTTACAGACAGGACCAGATCACGGATTTTATGTACTGTTGAATCGGACCTGGATATTGTGTTTATTCAGGATTTTGGAGATCTTTTTTGTGACCCCCGCAATGTAGGGTAAGGTGATGGTTTTGAATGGCTCCTCAAGAAGATCCTTCTTCATGGTTGGAGTGATGGCTTTGCGGATTGTGTAGTCGGAGTAACCATTCGCCTTGAGAGCTTGGTGTACGTGCTTGAGTTCACTGACAATGTGTTCCTGGTTGGAGATGCATTGGGCTCTATGGTGTAGAGTCTTGATGAGGGAATTCTTCTGGGATGGATGGTGGTGGGAATCCGGTTTTAAGTAAGCATCCGTATGGGTAGCTTAGGACGAACACCTCAGCCATGGCAGATCACTGTTATAATTCAGTGGGCTCACATGACATTGACTTCTTCAAGACGGAGGTTCTCTGCAAGCCATCCGGCTACCATGAGAGATTCGTTCATGAGGCCATCCACATATACAAACACAGAGACAATTTCAACCAAGAAGATGGATTCTGGCTTAGTAATCATTGGAAGGACGTGATAAACCATTTCGGTTCTTGATTGTATTTTACGGTAACTTTC